CAATTGCACTGTTACCTGCGTGCAAATAAAAAACAAAAATAGGGTAAACTGTGTCAGATTGGCCGGTCTCTTTGGCGAAAAGAAAATCCGGTTGCTGTACTTTTTTTACTGTACAAAAGTTCGTACTGGTGTAGGCCTTTAGCGACCGTGAGTGGAAGTCTGAAATAATAAATAAAAACGTGCTCTCCTGCCGCACTACACGCAGTAGTTGAGGGTAGTACTGCCGGCTGACTCAACTGCTATTTAAGTAACGGAAAAAAGGTATGCTAGTTTATCATTTAGCAAAATAGACCAACAGAGAGTTATAGGCTGATTTTGGAGTAGCCATAACTATCCTAAGAACGCAAACCACTTCACAACGGCAGCCACGAGCGAGAGTTCGGTGTTCGGTAGAGCCCGCCGATACAGCCCAAAGATGGAGAACGGCAACCTCCCGGTTTGTCGTCTGCTAGCGGAGTCGGCGGCGTGCCCTCTCTCTCGTTTTACCCCCGCCGAACCCGCTGAACTTCCCGGATGTGTGGAGAGGGCGCTGCGGTCGAACAAAATGATGCCGGCCAGGGAGCGCTAAATGGAATGGTCTATCCACGTTTGCAAGTGTGGTCTCAGGGCGCCGCCACCTTGACCAGTGGGGTGCGCTTGGGCGCGGCCATAATCCGATTATGACGCCTTAGCAAGGCTTCGCAATCGGGTTAGGACGCGTCCAAGCGCACCCCAGCGCGCAAGATGGCAGCGCCCTAAAGCCGGACTTGCAAACGTGTATACACATTTGCAAGTCCGGCTTCAGGGAGCTGCCATCTTGCCTGTCTGGGGTGCGCTTGGACCAGTTATAATCCGATTACGAAGCCTTGCTAAGGCGTCGTAATCGGATTATGGCCTCTCCCGAGAGCGCACCCCACTGAGGAAGATGGCGGCGCCCTGAGACCGGACTTGCAAACGTGTATACACGTTTGCAAGTCCGGCTTCCGGGCGCTGCCATCTTGCCTGTCTGGGGTGCGCTTGGATCAGTCATAATCCGATTACGAAGCCTTGCTAAGGCGTCGTAATCGGATTATGGCCGCTCCCGAGAGCGCACCCCACTGAGGAAGATGGTGGCGCCCTGAGACCGGACTTGCAAACGTGTATACACCTTTCCAAAAACCGCTCCTAGGCTGCCGCCATGTTGCTGATGCTGATGCGGTTGGTGCGACTCTCGCGCCCTCTATCAGCTAGAAATTTTCTGCTACTCTCTGGGACTGTGAAGACCCGCTCAGCGCGGTTCTCTACCTACGTTTTTGCGGTTCTGCATTCGACGTTTTCTCGCCCCTCTTGAAAGTTTCCACTTATTTTTTTTTTTATGCGTGCTGCGTACCCTTTCTGTGTTATCTTCGATTGTGAGAAATAAGGCTGGTAAGTGCCTGCCATTCAAGTTTTTCTGCTTTACATTCACGGGAAACGAAAGACGTGAAGGACGTCGAACGACCCTCGACGCGATTTTGCGAACATTGTTCTCCCCCCTCCCAGAGATAATCCGCGTAAAATCCTCAGCCATCTCCAAAAACAGTCGTCCAGGTTGGGGTGAGAAACGGGTCAGTCACGTTTGTTTCTTTGCCTTGGTGCGGTTGTGAAAAAAGGAAGCTCTCCCCAAGACGTGCCCCAAAACGAAGTCATCCCGGATTCCGTCCGATCGTCAAGATGTGACTGTCGTCGACTGTGACTGTGCTATTTGAGATCTTTCTCAAATAAATTCGTTTTGGATAACGCTGCATCGTGTGGTACGTACGAATGTTAACACTTCCTCAATTGTATGTCCGTGTCCTGTCCATCGGTAAACACGTTATTTGTGAGCGTGAAAAATGCATGCCGTTCGGCCCTCTTCTGTTGCAATTTATTTTTGACAGCAAAGCCCTTTGTCGTTTCACATGCGGCGAATCCCGCGGTGCGGTCAAAACTTATCGCAAGAAAAAAACAAATAACTAAAACTATTCATTCCAGTCGCATTCGTTCTGTCGCGCGTGTACCCAACAAAATTAGTTTAGATTTTTTTTTTTTTACTTTTTTGTTTTTTTTTTAATTCGGCACAATGCTTTCTCAATGTCCTCGGGAACATACATGTACCATGAAACACAAAATATAGCGGGAAAAGACGAGAATTTAGCCGCCAGCAGCGTTTGAAACTGCACCTACGCAGGCTGCGCCTATTGAAATCACAGTCCACTCGGTTAGGGTTAGGAGGGACGCCGGTGAGAGTCTAGCCTCAAACTCAGTGACTGGGCTCACAAACGGATGGTTGCCCCTGGGGTCGAGTGTTTTTTGGAAAGGTGTATAGCCTCAGAAAATTACTCAAAAGTAATCGATTAATTCCCACGTTACTTTTCAATCAACTTTTTTATTACGGTAGCATAATCCTTGAAGTTTCGCGCTCAATAGTTTCGGGAAAAAGAAAAAGAAAAAGCCTTGACTGTTTTTGTTTAGAGTTGAGTGAGTGACGCCAACACACCCAAACCCTCTCGTGAAAAAAGAATAATAAAAATAACTGGATAAGGTCATTTTTCACACCCGGACGTAGTCTTTGCTGTACCAACAAAAAACAAAAAGTACCCAGGAAACGAAGCATGGTGAAGTGGCCTACTAAACCTCGAGGTACCGTGCTTAGTAGTCTTGAAAACAAAACTGACCGTTGCCCAGAGCTGAGTGAATCCAGCACATCTAACCCCCCCCCCCCCCCCCCCCCCCAAAAAAAAAAAAAAAAAAAAGAAACTGAGAAACATTGTAATAGGCAATTTTGTAATCGATTACACCAAAAAAGTTATTCAATTACAACGATCGTTGCTCCTAACTGAAGCGTTACAAAGTTACAGTAAAATGTAATCGATTACAAATAATATATTACTTGCAGCGCGTTACGTACAAGTCTGGTCAGTAACAAATGACCTTTTCCGAGAAGCGCTCTGCGCAGGCGCGAGCGCCCGATGCCATGTGGCGGAAGTCGGCACGAGAAATCGAGGAAATTCGGAAGGAAGCTGGTGATCAGCGAGTAGAACATGTAATTGCAGCATGTATATAATTATGTTACACGCACACACACAAAAAGAAAAAAAAAAAAGAAAGTAGGCGGAAAGAAAAACACGACGTTTGGGTGAACGTTACGTATGCCCCTCTTTAAAGTCGCGTTGGGCACGCGCCGCAGCTCAGAGAGCGAAAAAACTGGCAGCGTAGCAAAAATTATCGATTGGTATCGCAGGTCACGTCCTCCTCGATGTTTAGTTCGTGCGGCCACCGCCTGGTGCCGTCGGTATGTGGAAACGGTCCATTACGGCAAATGGATCCGAGTTACTCCGGCGGGTGGTGTCACGTGACATCACAGATTGAAAAGCGCTGGACGCGGGTAGGTTTTGAAACGCCAAGGTACAAAACCCTGGAGTAAGATCGAGTAAATCTTGGAACACGGCCTAAGTGACCTCCTTGTTAAATAAAATTGAAGACGAAGTAAACTTTTTAGTGTTTCTTTCCGGTTTTCAAGATATATATATATATATATATATATATATATATATATATATTTAAAAAAAAGAAAGAAAAGCTCTCGGTGGCGAATCAGAATGAAAAATTTGAAAAAGTCATTTTGTACGTAATTGGTATTATTTTCCTTTGGGTCTATATCACATGAGCGAATAACGTTTTAGCGAACAGTGATCATTTGAGCGAATCAACGTTTTAGCGATTTACTGGGGCACATGTTGACACATTACCCCCCCCCCCCCCCCTTTTTTTTTTTCACTGCGTTTTCGACGCTTCGTGGTGACACTCTGCGGTAGCTCATTACAAAAATGTTAACCAGCCTGGCCAACCCGTAAACGCCGCTTCGCGGCGGTTGACCATTCACCGAAGTTACTTTCCATGAAAACTCGGCGTTCTCTAAAACGTCGGTCGACTAACTGGGTGCCACCCCTTGCGCTGTACTGTAAGGGATAGTAGAATCCTCGTCAAGCTGAAATCAATGACAGCTTTCTTCTCTCCTCCCTTCCTCCCTTATTTGAAGTAAACAAACTATAAAAAAAAAAACTTAGCAAAATGTAAGGTGTTATAAAAAATTCTCACCAGGTGCCGCAAGCTACCCCCTATCACAAGTAGGTGTCTATCCACTTAATTTTGGAAAGCAAAACTGCAAGGTTAAAGTTTTAAACTGTAATTTATTTTTTCGTTATTTAATTCTACAATATGTTGTTTTATAAGCGTGTGTGACTACATTGCGCTCCTCTAAATAACGTTTAAAAACAGTTCTTCCACAATTGTCTAGGTAGTGCCACATATGACCTAGAGCACTATATAGCTCCTTCGGAGCAGAGTAGCGCAATCTAGAACGCCGTCTCTCGGCGACTAGCGGCGAACGCCCGGAGGTTCCAACTGCGGTCAAAAATGCATGGAGAACGTGAGAAAATCGTTGTTTCTTCAGTTTTGTGGGGATGTACGGAATGACAATCATTTTTGACATAATAATGAAACATTTTAGAATAATTTGTGATAAGTTTTGTGCCATGCAAGGACGTAACTTTTTTTAAAAAATTGCCTGAGCGGCATTATGCAGCAGACGACACGGCGACGTCACACCAATCACGTGACCCGCTCCGGCCAACCCGAAAAGCCCATCTCCGCTGCGAGCAAAAATCGTCTGCTTCAAACGCCATTGCCTTGGAAATTGCCTTCTCAAAATTTGCACACGCATCCGATATTATTAAAACTTTGATAAAGTGTTTAGCGCTTTACTAACTTCACGACAGACTAGTTTTGAAAAGTGTTAACTCGCCGTTAGTTTTTTAATCAGCCGTGTTATGTCGATCTCCATGTATTCTCCCATAGGGCTGGCCGCCTCCTGGAACCCTGAGTACCACGTGACTCGCGCCGAGCCGCTCTGTCGGCCATGTTGTCGGCAAAACACGGGGTTCAAAGGATTGCGCTACTCTGCTCCGTAGGAGCTATATAGTGCTCTAATATGACCCATATTCAAGGGGTTGACTCGTTTATTTATCCATACAAGGAAAACCCCAGCAAAATGGCGGAACTGAAGAGCGTGTGGAACGTTAGTAATACGTTGATGCGGTGATCGTTAAATTCGCGAAGGTTTTCGCTGTTTTTATCGCTTTCACAGGGGTCTTAGATGTTATGATACTTCGGTAAGGTTGGTTTGCCGTGCGGTGGTAGTTGGACCTAACTAAGGACTGTGACTTAACGTTTGTGTAGCTCGTTTTCATCGACGACAAGCAGAATACGCGGTGCTTTGTCTGGGACGAAAGCGGAAGGCAAGGTAAGCTCGTCGTTTCAAAACGTGGTCCAATTTATTTGGTGTATCTGTTTCCTCCAATGTAGTACACAGGCGTCGCTCTTGCACTGGGCGGCGCCTGACCTTAAAAGTCGAAGTTCGGAAGTGTCGTGGGTTACTGGTGATTCCCTTCCGGGGAAAACAAAACGCTGTGTCTACAGTGCCGTCCGACGGCACTCCAATCGCGCCTACAAGTGCCGTCCCAGAGTCGGACGGCGCGTGTATCACTGGGGAGCTCGTTAACACAGCCCCTCGCCTGCGTTCACGCCGCTTCGCGGCGAGGGTATGCGGCTGTTAATTACAAAACAATTGATCCATTAGGCCCTGTCGTACACGCCGCTTCGCGGCGTCCAGCCGGCAAACCAAGCCCCGCTGTACCCGATGCACCTCCGGAAACGAAGTCCCATCCCATTTCGTTCAGCGAAATTTCGCCAACAACATTCGTTTTTTTCTTTTCTTTTCTTTCTTTCTGAGTTAATCATAAAAAAATAAATGTAAACATCGCCAAATCCGTCGATAAAATAAAATGTTCGAAAAAACAAAAAGTAAGCCCGCACTGGGGATCGAACCCGGGATAGCGTGCTTATGAGACAGACATCTTACCACTACGCTACACTCGGCTTTTTTTTTTTTTTTTTTTTTCTTTTCTTTTTCTTTATATTCTTTAATTTTAGTTCGAGCAGTTACAGTAAAGTCATTCATACTACTCATTGGTTACAGGTATTTCACTTTTACACAAAAGACACCTGCACTTTTTGTATGCATGAAACATACTACCATTGTCACCGGTATTGATATTTCCGCATACGCAAGTCGCTAGCTATCAGATAAAACCATCGGGAACGTTTCAAATAGAGTTCTATATTGTTTTTCCTAATCCTGGTAAACAGTAGTTGTAAATCGTTAAAGCATAAACAGCTGTTACAATTGCTTCATCTGGTTGATGTTATCCAGGATTGGTGCCCACTCTGGGGCCCACTCTGCGAGAGCATAAATGCCCTTAATCTGGGTGATAATTTCACTGAAATAAATATTTACAGGCTGAGGGTTAATGTCTGCATGTCTCACTGCCATGTGTGATTTCCAAATACTAAAAAGCCCGATGACCATAAAAAGGTCGTATGGAATCAAATCTTGTTTGTCGACAGGAAGGAAACGAATGGAGTGTGGTGTGATAGGCAAATCTTTTTTCAAAGTCCGCTTTAAGATATCCCAAAACAAAATAGCATCCCAACAGTTAGTGAAAACATGTTCTATGCTCTCTGGTTGTTTACACAGCAAGCAGTCGACTGACCACGGAACAAACATTCCTTTTTGTTGCATCCATACCTTCACGGGCAACGTATTAGTGTGTAGCTTAAAAAAGAAAGTTTTCACTGCAGGTGGATTATACATCTTTTTAACTCAACATAGCACATCTTGACCCGGACCAGCACTAAAGAGTGCCCTATAGAGTGGGATAGGGAATAGTGTGTCCAAAAGTGCTCTTGTAAGTTCCTTTCTGGTTACACCGGAGAGGTATTCTCGTGAAAACTGTGCGGATAAAAAGTAAAACGATTCGATAACTTCTTTTAGAAAACCTACGGTTGCCATAGGTTTCAAATTAACGGATGAAACCAGAAATGAAGGAAAGTGACATGCTAATTTTGTTTGTATCATTGTACGCACAAATGTATCTTTGTACGCACAAACTACTACAAGCATTCCTTTAGCTCAAAGACTGCTGTGTCGAAGTATTGATTACCTAGGTTTCTCTCGGTAAGCTTTCTTTCTAAACGTACCCCGGTACGTAAAAAATCATCCGCGAAAGAAAATTGGTGAAGAGAAGTGAGCTAAAGCAAAAAAGCAATGTCCGCATGCTGAACCCGCACAGCGTGCTCTTTTGTTTCGAGTTCAGCCATTGCACAAAGCGCTCCAAGAACTTTTTGACCCTGGCTCGTGATGTCTTGCATCGATGCGCTGAGGTTCTTTTTTTTTTTTCTGTGTTCAGCTTGTACCTCGCCTGCCGGCCTGGCAAGCAAGTGCCGCTAAACTGTATTTTTTTTTTTTTTTTGTCGTATGTTGGACAGTTACGTTTTGCATACAATTTTGGTAATTGGAGACAGAGCGGAGTGGCATGGTTTTGATCGAACAGCCATCTCCGCTCGCGCGACAATTTCGCATTGCACGGCGTTAGTTACGTGTTTCGTCAGTTGGAGACTGCTTCCATTTATTATATTGCTAGTCAACCTGATGATGTGATATTTACTACTAAGCTGGTCATTTTTAAATAAATTTAAATATGTGCAGTTTGGTCCGATATATTTGTATAATTTAATTGAAGCATTGCAAAATGTGTCATGTCATTCGCATTTCAGTTACATGTTGAAAGACTCCCGGGCGGTCTATCTTGACAATAATTGATTGATTGCGGCTAGCAATGTGTCCTTCGTTTGTCCATCAATTGAAATGAATATCTTTTTCTTCTAAGAATATCTGCTCCAAAGCACTGTTTTAACTGCTCCAAAGCCAGTTTTGCTGCTCCATAACTCTGTTTTGGCTGCTCCAGTAGGTGCTCCAAAACGGCTTAGGCCAATCACATCACTGACAGTATCATGTAGATTTTAATAAAGTCATAAAATGCAACTGCTCGAAACCCAAACCAAAACTGGACTGGGGAGGAAGGAGAAATATAGAGAAGGAGAAAGTTACCGGAAGTCACGTGGCTGTGCAGCTTTTATTCTTTTCAATCAGCGTATTTGCAATTTTTTAGAAGCCAGAAAAAATGGTTGTCTTATTTTCAATCTATTTTTAGTATTGAGTTTTTGCCTTCGGTGGTTGGTGGTTGTATCTAAACCATAGAAAACAGCCAGTTCTCGATCGACGGTTTTCCAGTGGAAAGAAAACAAACTTTGAGCCACAAATTGTATTCTGGGTAGTTGGGGTGTCATCTGTCATGTACAAATAAAAACCTTGGCAAGCATAAATACCTTGTCAGTGTCCCTTTAAAGTCAGCTTCGCGCATGTCATAAGAAAAGTGATGAGGTCGCACTAAATGCAGTATTTTTCATGGTCCATGTTTGCCGGTAACAGATAGCCTCATCTGCTTCCTTTTCCTTTACCACCACAAAATAGAATAATGCAAGAAATTAATCTTCTTTTCATGCGCTGTTCAACGGTGGTAAGCATGCCACAAAGTTCACTGATACAGCGCCAACTTAGCGGTGCACTCGGCGCCACATTGCGACAAGTCACATGCAAGTCGGAGTTGCATCAGCGCCGATTCGGCACTGCACTGTATGTGTGAACTGGCTTTGAGCTTGCTGAATGATACGACGTAAGACGGGGGAGCTAACCGTTGCCTCGTCACCCATGTCATTGACTTTTGTGGCATCCCTCCAGACAACTGTATTTCTCGTCTGTTGTCTACATGAAGCAGTTAGACTTATAATTAAATTAATTTTTGATAAGTTCCTTAGCAGTCGCAGCTAATGAACAATGGGCGCTTAGTGCGAGTGTTGTGACAAGAGTTTCTAATCTTGGTCTTGGTCCCTAGGTCCTCGGGAGTTCCCGCTTAGTGACTGGTGCCAGCCTCGTGCGTGCCTCTCCTCTTGCTGATCCAATGACGATGAAGGCACCCCGTAGCCCACCCCTCACTGGCTGGGGTTACCACTCGCAGAAGTGTCAGGTAGGCCGAAGAGACCTTCTTTTCTAGCATTGCGTAATTTAGTTTATTTATTTAAACACACTGCCAGCTACCCCATGGCAGCGAAGGCAAACGGGCACTCATAAGAAAAATTTTTGTGTCGACAGCAAGACTTTTGAAAAACAATGAATCTTTCTCGCCACAAAATAATAAAAAAGATAAGATCTTAAGATGGAGAGCTGCTTTGCTGTTCAACCTTCGCGTTGTGATGGATGGAAAAGATGGTGTGACCAACTCGGAGCCGAGATGAAAGCGTTCTGTTTACTTTTACGTGCTGTTTTGTTCGTGCCAGCGAGTAATGTTGTCTTTTTTTGCGGTTGCGGCGCTGAACCAGCTGACTCCTACAGAGAGCTCTCCCCCTAGAGACGGTGCCGGCATGCTGCAGGGGACAGCAATTTCATGAGCCATAGCGGTTGCACCTCAAAAGCGCGGCATAGTTGCTGCCGTTGGTTCGTGATGCTAGCTAGATGACGGGGCAGAGAGCGAAAGGCAGCGTTCAGGAGCCGTGCAAAGTAGTTCATGCTGAGGTCAGGTGTATTGGAGGCAGTGGACAGTGCGAACATTGATCGGGTTATATGGTGGCTCTGAAATTAAGTGAGCTCAATTTGGCCAGTTCCATTGGGCGCGTTCAGTAGCGGCCCCGGAGTCAAGGAGTCACTGACTCCTTCCACTGGACGGCCAAAAGTCACTTCCGGTGCACGTAACTCCGGGGCTTCGGAGTCAAGCTCCGAAGCACCGAGTCCGGAGACGGTGCACGTAGAGTCAAAGGAGCTAAAATGACGTCATTTCCTGACTGGTGACGATTTCCGGCGCTAAAAAAGTAGAAAACAAACAATATGGCGGGATAAGCTGCTTCGGTTCTGTAGCGGGTGCGCGGTTTGCTCGCTTTTGTTAATGAAAAGTGCTCAAGGTAAGACGAATAACGCGTTCGAATATCTTTTTGAGGTAAGGCTCTTTCGGAAAATGCATTGGACCGTATTTTGTTTGGTTTGAATATGCTAATAAACAACGCAAACATTCATTTGACGCGCCGTCTCTTGATCGCCGTTGCACGGAAACTCGGTAATATTGACGGTAGTCCTGTCCGCGCTCAACAGAGAAAAACAGGGTATGAACGCGACTTTGGAAGCCGGTTGGACACTCACGCAGAGCATGATACCGATTAATGTTTTGTTTGCGTAGCTAAATCGGGGTGCACGTTGGCTGAGGCTCGCTTCGGCCGACAAAACCTTGATCGCCGAGCGCGGCCGAACTTCCCGTCTGTATACAAATACATTTTATAGGAAGTTCGTTACGAAGGGCAGAACAAACTTATGACCGTATAAAAGTATCGCAACCGGCGGGGTAGATTCGCTGAGCTCGGTATTTTGCGTGTACTGACGACGATTTTTGTCGGCTTTTATAACAGTAGCTGACTTTGCACCGCCAAGCGAGAGGCTCGATCGCGTTGCATCGCTTCGAACAGCAGCGCTGATGTGTACAATCACTCGCTTTTTCTTTAACGACCTTGTAAAGACTTCTTCAATACCGGCGTCAAATAAAAGCGATCGTGCTCGACATCGTCTGCTTCCAGTTTGTTCGGAGACCGTCTGGCACAGGGGAGGAAGCGGAAGTTGCGTAGAAGCAGGTTTGGAGCCGCGGGTTTTTTTGCCGTTCAGTAGGCGCTCCGATGACTCCGACTCGAGGCACTCCGTTCGGAGGCAAGGGAGGCGCTACTGAACGCGCCCATTGTGTCGGTGCCCCTTCCCCTTTGCTCTGAAGTTGGGACGATCGAGAAAACGATTCTTCGTAAAACCCTGGATGGGACTCTGAGCAGCCCAGTTGAAGAACAAAGGTCCTAAAGCATCAGTAGGGATATGAAGGGAAAGAGATGTGCCAGAAGAAAGGAGGGGAATGACGTTTTGACCAAACTGTCTTCTTCAGGTATACTAAAAGGGGAGATGTCAGATGAAAATATGTATGCATTGTATATACACGTGACAGATGTGATGTCATGGATTTGGAGAGGGAGGATGAAAAGCTGCCAAGTAAGGTGCAAGAGGTCTGAAGCCAAGAAGTGGAGGAATGCGGGCAGGGGGGAAGCTTAGAGCACCTCCGTGGCCTCCCAAATTACAAAAAAAGAAAAAAAGGAGCGAGGGATAAGGGGAATGTTTAATAAGTGAAAGAAAGTCTCTTGTTTAAACCAAAAGGGAATTCCGTCTTTAAGTTGAAAATTAATTTGTTTTCTTCTTTTTTGTGTGAAGTGGATGTATGGAAGCCTGACTTGACAATGCATATTCGCATGTTGAGTTCGGTATGATTCATGGAGGAGAGGTGTATAGATAAGTGTGTGGAGAGGTCGTGTTTAAAGGAGCGATGCAACAATTTTTGTACTTTGCGCAAATACCGCTTAAAACGGATCCCTAACGTTAATGACCTATGAAACACGCGTTCGTTTTTCACCCCGCGCAATAGAAGTCCCGGAAAAAAATTAAAGAAAACGAGCAGCGTTCACCCCCTCAACTCGCAGCCAGAACAAGCGGCCACGTGATCTGGAGCTGACTATATGCCGTCAGTGTTGATCATAGCCACGCGCTGGGGTTGGCAAAGCACAGGGCACGCGCTGAGTTCCAGACATTGTTATGGCTCGGCTGTTGTCGTCGTTACAGCGATTGGACACGGGTCACTACCCGAATGCTTCTCGAGCTAGCAATTGTCACGAGCCCAAATCGAGTGCCCACGCAATGCTCGGGTCCAATCTATGAACCGCATTCAAATATCGTCACTTGGGTGTACTGCGATCCCCGAGTTACGTCATCAAATTTTGCAAAGGAGAGATTGAATGAAAATGATCGCTTCTGTCCTTGAAATTACACCGCAACAAAGGAGTTTCTTGGCCAATGGCGTTGCGTGTGAGTATCCTTGAGTCCCAGGTGTGCCAGTAAGCTCGTGTAGAGAGAAAAACATTCCAATTGAATATCGTTGCACAGCTCCTTTAAGTTGGCCTGCTTTTTCTAGTGTGACAAGTCTGCAATGTTCTCGGAAGCATTTGTGGAGTCAGCGGTCAGTTTCGCCGATATATAACAGGGTTGGACAGAGTGTGCAAGAAATAATGTATATTAGATTAGAAGATTTGCAGGTGTGATTGTCAGGAATTCTCATTAGCAGGTTGGGGGGATGGCCGGTCTGTAAGGCATTTCGGGGCTCCACATGGCATGGTACCAGGGAGCAAAGTCGGAGGTTTTGTGGGCTGTTTGCTGCGTACGAGAAGGGATTGTAAGTTGGGCTGTTGGCAGTAAGTTAGGGCGGGTGCTTTAGAAATAACTTTAGAGTGTATAAGGTGGGAAGTGGCATCCATGATCAGTTTGCCGAGTCTAGGTATGGAGGGAAGGAACATGAAGATGAGGAAGTTGCACAGTGGTTTAGATCTTGGTTGGGGAAATGGGCGTCGTGCCGCAAAATGTTAGACACGCGACTGCTCGCATTGCGGAGAAGGTTGAGTGGGTTACCACGTTCAATAAAGAAGGTGGTCATCGTCTTTAAGCTGATGACGGAAATCAATGTCGTTGCTGCAAATCCTACGGAGGCAGAGAAATTGTGAGAAGGGAATAGAGAATAGAAATTGTGAGAAGGGAACTTGGGACCGTCACTAGTTTTTTTAAGTCTAGGAAGTTGACAGAGGATTTCAATATCAGTGAGGAAAACTTCAGGGATTCTTGGGCATTACAGAGTGCATTGGTGAAGCGGTCAACTACGGGAAGGGGGCCAAAACCAAAGATGTTGTCAATATAACAATCATAGAATTGTGGTTGCGGGGGTGGGAGAGAATTAAAGAGCAAGTGTTTGACGTAGCCAACGAAAAGGTTGGCGAACGAGGGACCCATCTTTGTGCCCATTGCTACACCACATTTTTGTTGATAAAAAGTTGTTGAATTGGAAGGCGTTTAGTGTTGGGACGAGTTTGGTGAGAGAGCCTGTAGTCCTTTGGCGTGAGGAATTACTGTGTGGAGAGAAGTGATGTCCATTGTGAAGAGGATAGTGTCGGGGGTCGGGGCCAGATAAGACAGGCGTTGAAGGATGTCTGTTGTCTTTAACGTAACTGTGCAGGTTTCGTACAGTAGGTTGAAGGGCTGAATCGACAAACCGGAGATGAAGTAAGTGAGGCAAGATATGGTGGACACAGTAGGCCAGGGGATCCAACTTTGTTAATTTTGGGAAGGAGGTAGAATGAGGCGGCGCGGGGACGACGAACGATTAGACGATTTGCTGCGGGGGGAGGGACTTGGTTTCGATTAGGAGCTGTGAGGTGGTTGTAATTTTACCTTGGAAAGCGGCGGTGGGGTGAGAGGAAAGGCGTTCATAAAAATCAGAAACTGAGAGCCTCCTCAAAATAGAATCACTCCGCCAGACCACCACGGCTCCACCTTTGTCTGCTGGCTTGATTACGAGGTCAGTCTGGTTTCGAAGGGATTTTAGAGCAGTGACTTCTTGTGGGGTTGCATTGTGGGATTTAGAGATTAGGTTGCTAGACGAGTTGGCAAGGACGCTACGGCATGCTTTGATTGCATTGTCAGTTTCAGGGTGTTTGGCGGGAAGCGAGGTCCAGATTCTAATCTTTGGGCTATTGGTGTCGAAAATGATGCAGTTAAAGTTAGCCGGTTGCTGGGAGACGTGGACGTCGGAAGTTTTGTTCGCTTTCTACATGCAAAGAAAAGGGGTCAGGTCGATTGTGAAGTGAAGGGACAAAGTACAGAGCCTTCGATAAGATAGTGCGGTCAGGTGCAGTGAGGGGTGAATCGTCTGGTATGGTGACATCATTCCACTGGATGGCGGCCTGGTCATTCTGGTCCAAGAGAGTGTCTAGTTTCCTTGATTTAGAGGCGAGACCATCGGCATAGAGATGCGAGTTGACTTCACGAATGTTGTCGATAATTTTGCATGAGTAAGAATGGAAAGGGGAGTCAAGGGACTTGAAAAGTGTTTTAGCGAGGGTGAGCTTTTGGCCTAATTGGGTGCAGTGGTCATTATGGTATCTCAGACGTGCCTTCATTAGTTGGAGAGCAGCATCATCTAATATTTGATTGCGACCCTTTCGGAGGGCCGGATCATCAAAGTTATTGGCAGAGTGTAGGCATAAGCCATTAGAGATGTCCTGGTTGCGTAGGCACTGCTTCAGAAAAGAAACGTGACTAGCTGCCTTAGTGAGCTTGAGGGTGGTCAAGAAAAGACCGTTTGGTCGAAACGTCGTTTGCCTTCTTTTCTCTGGCACATCTCTTTCCCTTCATATACCTGCTAATATACTAGCAGTGCCCGGCAGAACCCCACATCTTCAGATTCTGAAGTATCATCTGAAGTACCCTTGAGCTTTCCAAGGGGAGCACGTGGGTGTTTTAGTTATTCAGTGGCAGGGGTATTCGTGGGTTTCAAGAGGCAGCCCCACTTAAGTACTTGACCCGTAAGGATTCAGTTGTTTTCTGTCATGCACTTCTAGTACTTCTTTCTGGGGAACTGCTTGCAGGAATGTGAACTGCCTGTAAACTGCTTGTGAACATTTCGTGCCACCATTTCGTTGTCGAAATGTGTTGCCTCTTGAGGTTTGTATTTAGTCCAACGTAATGCGCGCGCGGCATCGCATCAGCGAAGACAGGGCACTTTCTAGTCCGGCGCACCAGAGCGTCCGACGTGACCAGTGGCCTCAGGCACACTCTGACCACGGCAGCGCTGGAATAGGACAAATTAAATTTTTTGCGTAGGTGACGTTGCCCAGGACTCACCGCGTCATAGCTTTTGGCTAGGTCGTGCAAGCCACCACCCGAATAAGAGGGTTCAGCCGTATGCGTCCACCCATCCATTGTAGCTCCGTGAAGTTGATTACAGCAGGCGCGCTTTTTGTCGCAGAACGATCTGCAGATGCTTGCACAAAAGCCGCAATGTTGAACAAGTTTGACCATAAATGGGTCAAATTTTCAGCAGGTGTGGCGGAGCCGACGTGGTGTTTCTGCCGTTGAATGTTGGACGCCGATGCTCGCGTAAAGTCGGACTATAAACGCACCTTTATGATCGGTGTTCCTGCACCGGGGTGTGACTTTCTTTTCCAGCCGCGGCACCGGTTCACTTATGTTCTTCGTTTAGGCGGGCAGTTACTCAGAAACACCACTCATTATGTTATTTTTTTTATGGAAGCATTTTTTTAGTTTTCTGCGTGTTTCTATGAATAATGCCTTGGCTCCCTATTAGGAAGAACCTTGGAATTTGCCCAACCATCCTTTATGAGCTTTTATTACACTTCCACTCTGTGTATTTCTGCAATAAACCTTTTAACAATGCTTTATATGAATTCCTGTACCAACATCAAAGCAACCTCTTCGTTACTGCCGAGTAATGTGACAGAAGGTACCACAAAAAAAACAATGCCTCTGTCCTCGCTAGGTCATCCCGGGACGAAGCACGCCCGGGACCCAAGATAGGATGTGCGCATCCAGCCACCGCGCCATCGGCGCTGAGGCCTACCTCCAGCACCTCTCCGGCCAGGAAAAAGAGCCGCACGTCGTGAGCATGGACCACAGCTACGCCCGCGCGTGGAACGCCCACCCCGACTCCCACCATGCCCGACCCGCCAAGCTCCTCTTCATGAAGAACGTCTCGTGTGCCAGCAGCACGGCAGTCACTACTGAAGACGCGCCTGTCGACGTCGAGTCCTGGACGCCGACCGGCCCGCTGCCCTACGACAGCAGCCGCGTCCGCAGCCTGATGAGCGAGTGCGAGCGCAACGCGAGTCCGTGGGCGCGGAGCAAGGCCGGATCCGACGACTGGGACCGGGAGCCCGAGGGAGCGGGCTGGAGCAACGCTCAGCGGCAGCTGGTGGCGCGGGTCGTGCGTCTGCTGCACGCAGACCGCCTCGCGCGGCTCGCATACCAGCGGAACGCCAACGAACCCGTGCTGCGGCGCCTTGCCGTAGACCGGGCGGCGAGCCGGATGCGGCGTCTGCTCGGCTCGTACGGCTGGGACGCGAGGCTGCTCAAGTGGCTGCACGCCTTCATCGTCGAGAAGGCGAGCCCAGCGTATCTCGCCGCCTATCTCGACGTCCTGCAGGCGCTGCGGGCGCGCGTTCCGACCCTGGTGGACAAGATGGTGGCGAGACCAGAGGCGCTCAACGGACTTTTGCGGAGGCCCTGGGACCCGGCGGCCGCGTTCCTGAGTCAGCACAAGCCGAAGAGGCTCCCGGGATCTCCGCTGCTCGTGCTGTGTCCAGGGCGACTCCACTGGGGCTCATGGCCCGCGCAGCTCTCGCTCCTAGGGCAGCTGGTGGTCGTTCAGCCGACCAAGACTGCCGGTGCTGAGGCCGCTCAGCAGCAGGCGCCAAAGGACTTGGTGGCCGCTGTCAGGGCCAAGGTGCACGAGCTGAAGACGCGCTTTCGTTCGAGGCCCATCGTGCTGATCGGCTGGAAGGCTGGCGGGCTGGTGGCTTGCCAGGTGTCGCTGCTGGAGTCCGTGGCGGCCGTGGTGTGCCTCGCGTTTCCGCTGGTCGGGCTGAGCGGGCCACGTGATGTGGACGACCCACTGCTGGACAGTCCCACACCGACGCTGTTTGTCGTTGGACAGAACGCACTGTCGTGCGGGACGGACCGCATCGAGGACTTCCGGGAGCAGATGAAGGCGGTGTCGGGGCTGGTGGTGGTGGGCGGAGCGGACGACGGACTGCGGATGGGGTGCCTGAAGAAGCGCCTAGAGGGTGTCACCCAGTCGATGGTGGACAGGTGTCTGTTGGAGGAGGTGGCCTCGTTTCTGCAGTCGGTGTTGGGCGGGATGCACGTGGGTGCAGTGGCGAGGCCCGGGGGGGCTCCGGCCAGGTCCATCGTGGGGCACAGGGCTTAGAACTCGGTCTGCTTTTTGGACTTCATTTGAGCATCTAAGCTTTCTTTTGGCCCTCTTTTGTTCTATAGTTTTTCTCGCACTGGGAAATTTGAAGATCCAGTGTCTTTGTGGGCTGTACAGCGGCTTTTCTTTTTAGGATATGCTAGCAGCATTGTTTTCGTCATATTCTGCTGCTTTCAGCAAGGTATCAGTGAGTGCTAGATAGTACATTCTGTAACCTCATGGTAAGCACTACAAAAAAACAAAACAAAAAAAAAACAATGGACGTCTAACCAGTACAAAACATTGTCACGTCTTGTTCTGTACTGTCCAACTAGTATGTACTTGCTTTGAATCGCACATCTTGTTCTTTGTCTTTGGCACAGCAGTGCAGAGCTGGAGACGTATTGTACTATTTTTTGTAGTGCTGTCTTTTCTCTCTCCGCTGTTGCATTTGAGTATGGCATGTTTTGTTATGTCACATATAAAGTTATGTTTTGGAAAAACGGTTACCCCTTGTCACATTTTGCATGGTGCTCATATCAATTTTAGAGTATGTATTTCGGGAATTCCTATTGCCAATCTGTGTGCACTGCTTTTCAAGGCTTACACTTGCACATTCTTTTTTTCCAATGGTTTATTTAACCCTCTGACGGTCCTGTTTCTTTTCCCCAAAAGATGTTTCCTAGTGGTCGGGCTCTGTTTCCGCGGGAATGGTATAAAGGAAAGGTCAACGCGTGGATTATTTTTTTCATTATCTCGTGGGAGCACGGACAGGGCTTGCAAGCTGTTCATGCTTGAAGCATCAAATGAAAATATTGAAGGTGAAATGTTCTCAACTTGCTTCCATTCGGTTTCATTCTGGCTCATCCACTTCCGCGACATTCCGGCATTTTTCTATGCGCAACTGGAGGTACTTTCCAGAGCTCCTCCATTAGATGGTAAGCTCTCGTCCTCTGAATTCAATCCTGAGAAGTGTTAAAAGTCTAAATCGAAAGACCCAGCACTCCAATTGCCACTACCACCAGAGTAGACGACATGCGAAGCAATCATCCGATTTTTGAAACTACAAATAGACCGGTCAAAGCAGAACACCGTGCAGATATGACGCTTATAGGTCACCAAAGACAACAAATAGCAACGCTTCCCGCGGTGTGCGGTTTCACGTTTAGGCTAGCAGCTTCAAATGTGCAATCACCGCCATACATGTGTGACGACGACCGTCAAAGGGCAACCTGGAAGCAGAAAGGAGGAATCCTCCCACTTCCTTCCTCACCATCTTCTGACTTGATTCTCCTCTGTCTTGCCGCTGTAACAGACATCAAGAAGTATTCCCGCATCTGAGGTATGGAGGCACTTGTTCACGCTGTGTTTGAGCTAGTCTCTGCGGTGTGACTGCCAACCTGGGTTATTTGTGCACCATGCACCAGTGATTGCACCACCACATGCCGGTGCAGTGCTTGTCTTGATGAAAACTGACAGGGTCTGGGATTAATCCTTGCTTCAATCCCTGCCCCTATGCATTTCAATCTCAATGAGTGAAGAGTTGTGTAACTAATACTGTGATGGAAGTGCTGCACATAATGCGCCAAAGTGCTGTTTTTGCTTAGAATTGTGCCATACCTGTGCCAAAATCTTAAAGGGGAGTGCAACGATTTTCGGACTTCAGTCAAAAATTTGTGGAAGTTGCCCTCCGACACTTCTGAAGTAAAGAACAGAAAACTGATTTTGCCTGCACGTCCTACTTGTGTAAAAAAAAAAGATAAATATTGGCATTTCTGGCACCCCTCAACTCACTCCCAGTCTTCAGGGTCACAAATGGACGCACTCCTAGTGACGTAATTTGGGGTGCCGTGTAGGTTCCCGTGTGCTCTATCGGAGGACGCTTCCTCTCCCTTTCTCTGCTGACATTAGCAAGCGTTATGCTGCAGCTTAGAGCCGAGCGAGGTCACGTAAGCTTCTTGGCGTAATTTCTTTGGCTACCACTCGCAGGTGCAGGTAAAGGACAAAGATTGACTTTTGCTTTGCGATTATGCAGCAGAATCGTGGCATTTTTTAATGGAGATGTTTTCTCTATCCAACTTTGAGCCTGGTCGCTCCGTGTTGTGTCGGGGAGAGTACGCTACCATGTCGGCCTACCCTCTCGCACTCCTCCGCGCATCTCCCGTTTTCAGTTGAACAGCGAAATTGCTCAGGACAGTCGGGCCTGCCCTTTTCCAAGTGGACGGCCGTCTGGGTGAGGATTCTTGTATTGAACTCCGAGTGACAGGTTGAGTCGCAGCGTGAGCTCATGCAACTGGCAATGACTCAACGCTAGCGTTTCCCCTGGCTCTGACAGTCGGCATCCCCTCCTCCTAGTGGACGTCCGAATGCTGAGAGCCTTAGCCGTATACCCCTGCTACGACGGGTAGCTGCGTCGGCTCGGCCCACCGGCAACGACTCTGCTCGCATTTACCCGTTTGACTGTCAGGTCAGCGGGCACTGTGTGTACTTTGTGTCCACGGCTCGCTTGACTGCAGTGTATTGTTGGGGACCCCTGGTTCTCAATAAACGCTGTTGGATACCGGGATCATCGTTGTTAGCATGGCATTGGCGAATCCAGCGTGGCGACCGCTCTCGCTGGTAGCCGTGGGCCGCGCGGTGGGACGGGCATTGGATTCCCCTTTGAGCACCGGTCCCCGGACGTAAAGGTATGTAATCGTCCCTCCCCACAATGTACAGATGGACAACGAATGCCATAATGTTGCACTTTTGATGCCGTTTGACTTGTCCCATTGGCTCGTAGCATAGGCTGCGCTTTGATTTGAGATGAAACGAATTATAGAGATCACAGGAATTATATTTACCGAAGAAGTAAACTACCGAGTAAACAAGGGTCTGAGCGAGAGACTTTATCTCGGATGAAGTGTTTTGCTATGCTTTGTGGTCTAAACATGTTTTTTAAAGAACTGTTTTAAATGGAACTTACTCTGACCTGAGCCTTGTTTCTAAAATGAAGGCTGCTTTTTTTTTTTGCATCATACCTCCTCTTACTACAAAACATAAGTAATATGCTTCTGTATCAAAGAAGGACCCTCAATCATTATTGAAAGGAACTTGCCCCCTAATTTAAAAACCTCACTCCAATTGAGGCGTCCCTCCACTTCTTCGAGGAAGGTGGGAGGGCCGGCGCTGGCCAATCGCGACGTTGGATAGGCGCCCTAGGGTGCTTATCTGTCATCACGATTGGCCAGTGCCGGCAGTTGCGTTTTCCTCGAGGGAGTTGTGGTGCGCCTCATTTGGAGTGAGGTTTGTGAATTTGGTGTTTATTTAGCAATCATATTTTCATTTTCAAGTGACATGCTAACAGATGTTGGCATCTGCTCTCAATATTTTGTCTGCTACAAAACTAGCTACAAAAGGTCCAATGCCGCTTCCATCACTGTCAATACCATTAGTTAATTGTGCTGTCACCTAAAGCTGATTGGTAACCAGAAACAAGTCCACGTATTAGTGCTGCCACCTGCTTGTCCGAGGAAGCTCCGTAATGGCTTTCTTCAGTTGTAGTTTGAAAAACCGTCGAGTAACATTGACACCATTTTCTGATTGGAGGAAAGCTCCGACTGTTGTAATAAACAGGATGGATTGAAAAAAACCAAACGACATCACGAATGAAAAAAAGAAGAATGGTTATCTTTGCTATTGTAAGGAGTGAACCTTTGAATCAATCTACTGGTAAGCCTGGTCATATGGACCTATGCAAAGCAATAAAGAAGGACCTTTTTAAGTAAAGAGCCACAGTAAAAAGTGGGCGTTGCCGTTTCCCGTTTACTTATTTCATCTTGGGATGTGGCCACAACAAATTTAATTCATAAACCGATTGGTCATAATGTTCCTTATTGTGCATTCTTATTCATGAAGCACCACATTGAAGTTTGGCTTGAATGACGTCCTTGCAGTCCTGAACGGCTTGATTGCGCGTTTTTTCCTTCGGGGTCGCACACTTTTGACATTGTTGCAAAGAGTGCCTCACAGCAGTAAATTGGTCTGGATCAGGGTGTAAGATAGACAGGTGGGGAAACGAGAGCCAAATGATCGACCGGATTGTGTCCCTCTCGGTTTTCTTTTTTTCTGTGGCGCTGTCTATGTGGAGCACTGCGAACTCTCACTCCGGGTGGGCGACCTTGGGCGACCGGCTAAACTGACGGACATGGTTTCTCGTGGATTTTCAATGCAGGACTGTCGTGCTCTCATTTTATTTTGCGCACTCTCCCATAGAGTTCCATGCAAATTTGATTCCGATTTTTTTCCCTTCGCCGCAGCACCATCTGTCGCAAATCGGGGGTACTTGCAAGCAGACGAGTACACAATCCGGTCACGGCGCGGCGGTAGACTTCTATGGGCCGTTTCCCCACCTGTCTATTTTACACCCTGGTCTGGATATTGAAAGAAGTCACTAGCTCGGCGAGCTATGGGGGCACAAGGGTGCCACCAAAGCACGAGCCATTTTATATTCTCTATTTCTTTCCTTCTGATCTTTTGGGAAGGGGGAGGGGGTCACACTTAGGCCCTGAAAAAGCCGCAAGCAGCTCGCGAGTCGCGGTTAGTTCACCCCTGATCTACACCTTCACCAGTATTAGACATTAAAGAATGTTGTACTGGGGTGCCTCCTGTATCCAGACAACTCAAAACAAACCTGGAGCCCCTGTGGCAGCATTCAAACTATGCGGAGCGTACCATATTGATTTACAAGTATTTTTCTTCCTGCAGATACTGGTCACCGAGGGGTCGGTATAGTCCAGGGGTGGCCAAGCTGCGGCTTGCGAGCCGCATGCGGCTCTTCGCGCGTGTTAAAGTGCAGCTCGCGGCTCCTTCTCCTCCCCCTCCCCCCCCCCGGCTCCCTCCCGGTCACACGAGCGCTTCCCCAAAAAGAGAAATGGGACGCATTTTAAATCGAAAGACAGCTTGCGGTTTGGTAGTCTTGTGCAACTGCTCCCTTACGTGCAGTTGTACTGATTTTGAATCGGATAGATTGAAAGTACTTCGAGTTTTGCTGTTTGCTCTAGATTGCTCGCATCACCGATAGTCATATCTGTCGGGTTCCCATGGAACCTAATTGACCTCTTGAAGATCTCAGAATGGTGGACTCAAAAGGCACCATCAAGGTTGGAATCCTATAGAGGCCAAATGTTCTGCACTGTCATCATATGTAGCATGCCAGTTTCGTAGTGTGCAGTGCCTGCTGTTCTTCCGTTCTCCAGTGTGTTTGGATCTACCAGTAATCAGAATGTGACTAATTAAAGGGGCATATAGATACATCTGAAACTTTTATTGACCTCTAATTTGCTAGTATCTCCTCTTTCTTTTAAAGCCCCTACATGAAAAAGAAAACACAGTTTTTTTTGTACATCACTTTAGGTTATGTCAAGACACAATAGACCAGGGGTGGCCAAGCTGCGGCTCGCGAGCCGCATGCGACTCTTAAAGTGTGGCTCGCGGCTCTTTCTCCTACACCCCCCCGCAGCTCTAGG